TATTATTATATATATATATATATATATATATATATATATATGTATATTGTAAATTTGTAAATTTAAATTCATTATGGCTTAAAATAGACGCATCTTTTTAAATTTGAAGCATGACAGTGAAATGAATATATATGGTGAAGAAAGCTTCGTTCAATCCTTTCAATTTTTGTTGTCACCAATGTTACCGGTGAGATGTGTTTGCACCAAAAAAGAAGTTAGACCTTTTCCGTTGACCGGTACCGATTGATGATGTTATAGTTTTGGTTCTCTTCAATTTTTGAGCAATCTTCGATATCACAGATAAGTATAGTACAATGACAGCAGTGAGACCATATCAGTTTTGAGTTTTGAAGCTTTGCGTCGCGATAGTCATTGGTAATGGTAAACAGTCCACTTTTTGTCGCAAGTCATTTATCCATCCGATAGAATAAGTGCTTAATTATTGCTGGAAGTTTGAAGAAGACGACACATTTTATAGCCTTATAAGTTATCCATTTGATGAGTTGTTCATCTGTTCAACTATTTTCAAATACCGAAATACTGTGTAATATGGCTGATGTTGAGTTTTTCCGTACTTTCCCGGGCAATTTTAAAAAGACCAGCTTTGAGTTACTCTCGATTGGTTGACTGTCAACTTCAGATGACTAGTTAGTAAGGTTATCATTGGAACACTTCTCATCACTGTATATTGCTGACTAATATTGTGAATTGTCTACGCTTCTTCCACTCCTTTTAAGCTCAAATAAAAAAAGATCACACAACTTTGTTTTCTTTGATAAAATAGATGATAAATTATTATCACCGAAAAATTATCACGAAAAAAATTATTGTCATCGATTTATTATGAGCGAAAAACGAGCACTGAAATGACATATAATAAAACAAAAAAGATTTTTTTTTTTTAGAATTTATTTCAATATGAAAGAGTTCAAAAAAGAAAGAAACCAAGATTACTTTTAATCTGACCTAATAATATTAGAATAGGAAAATTGGAAATTTTTTCAGGTTAATCAAACTTTTCATGCAAGAGATCTTTTCGGTGGTCATAAATATTCCGTTGTATTAAATAAAACTGAAGGTTTGTTTCTTTTTCGTGAAGTCTTTTTTTTTTCATTGCTAAGTGTTAATTACTAAGAACTTTTTAGTCTTTTTTCTGTACCACTTTGTTGTTTATTTTATAACAAGCAGAATTTGTTACCATTATTTTTTTGAAATTTTTTAAAGTTTTATTTCAGATAGTCCGTTCTTGTTATATATGGAAAATGCTGCGCAACATGCAAGTGCATTGTTTAGTGATGCGACAAGTGAACAGTTACTTCATGCTGGCTCAACACTAATTGCTGATGCTCTTTTACGTCTTTCCATAAAAATCACGACAGATGTAGTGATACCATCCCTTACACCAGGGTACTTTATTTTTCAATATGATCGAATGCCGTGGGATATGGAAGTAAGTTTTCATGTATTTGACAAATTGATCCAGCAAAGTTAGATAATTAGATAAATTTTTTCGATAGCCGAAAAAAATTTAGACAAATAATCAAATTGCTTTTAAACAAGTAATCTAATTGCTTTGTAATTAACTAATTGATTTGTTAGATAAATAAATAAGGTTCTTAGCATCATACTATAGTTATGATGATTATTTAATTACGAGTTTAGACGTTTGGTTTATTCTTTCACCTAATTATTTATGAATTTCGTAATCATATTGTTTGTTTGTTTGTTTGTTTTTTCTTCTGAGGCATTAATTAAATGGTTGATCAATTTGATGTGGCAAAAGAAGTTTAGCTATTAATGAATTCATTGTAGGGTATGCGCTTCAATGAACCATTCGGCAATAAACCAAAACTACTGCTCAAGCAGATCAGCAAACATGGGCTTTTACCAGAGGTTTCAAGTGAATTACTTCCTGTTGAGATTCGAACACGAGCAGAACATTTGCATGGTTTTGATGATGAAATTTATTTTAAGTAATCTTTCAATTTCCTACACTTTTCTTTTTGATTTACTAAAAGTTTAAGATTAATGTTCTTTCACAAATGTAATTCAAATCAAGGGACTTACAGGAGACTTGAAACTTCGAGACTTGGCAAAGCTTTACTTTACATTCCAGTATGTGAGACGACAATGGATATTGGAAAAAGGTGAGTGATATTGTTGATTTTCTTCAATTAACTAGAAATTAACTAAAAAAAATTAACAATTAACTTGAAAAACCTGCCTATATTTTAAATTTTAATATTAAATCCTGGAAGTGAATTGTAAAATTCTGCAATTCTATCCTTTTTTTTTACAAAATGGACTCTTTTTAAGTAATAAATATTCAAATATAAGTCTAATTTTACATTTTAGAGTCTTTTATAATTATTAGTAGCTGATTAAGTTACTCAGCTTTAGCCGGTGTAATGTAATATTCTGGGTCGTAATATTCTGATTATGAAAAAAAATCGCTTATTGTGCTTGAAAATGCTCACATCATTAATAGCTTATTGTCAGGTCTTTTAATACTAAATTACTTATTCACTAGATAATTCAGTATTTGTGAATTTGGTTTTCATTTCGTTTAACTTTATATTTATTTTACGTTTCTTACAACGTTCGGGATTTAGATTCGGGATCGTAAAGTTTTCCTTTACATTGTAAAGTTTAGTGTTTAAAATATCCACGCGTTAATCATTAGTTACAGGAAGTTTGAAACACTGGATTTCTTCCATACTGTAAGATTTTCTGTTTAATTAATATATTACTTTCTAAGTTACTTATAATTCATTCATGAATCAATGATATTTGTTCCTTATTATTTTTGCACATTTTTAGTTTGGCACTTGCAATGCCGGAAGAGCCAGTTGTGATCGTCGCACGACAACAAACCAAAGGAAAGGGTAAGATATGTGATTTCTCTTATTGTTTGTTGTCGCAGACGAATAGTTGTGATAAAAATTTATTGATGGACGGAGAGTTTTCGTTTCTGAACGACTACTGAATAATTATTGAGGAATATTATATTACATTGTATTACTGAATTCTTGTATCCTTATAAAAAAATTTGTCGAAAATTTGATTTGGCTTGCCGTTTAAGTAGGAATTTGATGAGATACAGATGGTAACATTGTCATATACAGATGGTAACATTGATATGACAATGTTTACATCGAGGAGCACGGGAAACTTATCTTTCAGATTTTGAGACTTGATTCGCAAGACTGATTTCAACTGATCATATCTAATGATCCTAACTCTTTGTGTAATGGAGTTCTTTACAGCATTTAAAACATTTCAAGTAATTTGATCATAAGATTGAGAAATAAGAGTTGAGCATATAGTTTATAACTTAAGGATCAAAAATTATGTTTTCATTTGTTGTGTAATAAGCCATTTGTCTGGGAAATATTTCAATTCAAAAACACTTTTTATACAACAACAAATTTATATTATCTCGAATTTACATCGATTAATCCAAAATATTTCTATGATACAAAATATCTTATTTTGACATATTTTATAGCACATAAATATTTCAGCGTTTCTCGACAAGCTGAATATTTTCTCAGTTTACAGTGACATTATGATTCAACTATTTATCAGAATTTAGAGGAGAGAATAAAATTTCGAGCGAAACATTTTAATAAGAAATAAAATTTTTATCCTAGCAGCAGTGCCTTTAGTAATAATGATAATTAATAGTATTTCTATCATGGATGAGAGAATGGTAGATAAATGAACTCACTGGGTAAATTCTTTTTATTTTTAGTTTGAAATTTCAGCTATAACTTTGTTTATATGATATATCTATAAGTTATAATAATGTATTATTTTCAGGTCGATCAGGAAATCAATGGCTTAGTCCAGTTGGATGCGCAATGTTTACATTTAATTACATGTTATCATCCGGATCCTCTCTTAGTAATAATGTTGGCATTATTCAGCATATTTTCTGTGTTGCAATTGTCAGTGGCATTTGCTCACTTCGGAAAGAATTAGAGGTAATAAAGACTGATATATTTTAATTTTAGGAAATTCTTCTTTCTAATTTTGAAATTTTTCGTATTTATTTAATTTCCAACCTTTTATCGATTAATAGTGATGAACAGTAAGCTAAAAAAAAAACTCATCTCTTCCTTTATCTTTCAAATCTAAACCATCCATAATAGTACTTTCCACACTTACTCCTACTTTTTTTTTTCAACTTTACGATAACCATCCATGCTCATTGTTTAAATAAATAATTAGAAGACGAATTAGTGTTATTTGTTTAAGATTAATCAAAAATTTGTAGCTAAAACTTTCCCTATTATCCAAATAGTGTCTGATTTATATCACATTTAATAGCTTTTGATTGTAAGATGATAAACACTGATTAGTGGGATATTTTTGTGAAACCTATGGTATGTTATGCAGGTTAACAGATTCTAAAGGTTCAAAAGGAAAGTTTTTTTCTGTCTTTACTACTTTCCATCATTTGATATACTACATATAGGTTGGTTTGCTAAATCGAAGAATAGTATTGTTGCGTAGGAAGATCTAATTATCAGATTACCATATTTTATATCGATCTTATCATGTTAAGCATGATATGTTTATCTTTTTTTTAGAAATGAAAACATAATTTTTCATGATTCTTTATGAAATTATTTCTTACTATGCAACTAAAATAAAACCTTAAAAAACTCATCTCTTCCTTTATCTCTCAAATTTATCTCTTCCTTTATCTTTTAAACTCATCTCTTTCCTTATCTTTTAAACTCATCTTTTCCTTTATCTTTTTTTTTTTTTGCTTGATATTCTTTCATGCAGTTTAACATTACCGCATAACGATGACATATGAAATATATAATTTGATAAATGTTTTTTGCAAACAAATTTGCAAACAAGATTTTTACTTTTTGCAAGCAAAAATGTTTTGATGGAAAATTTTACCATAATATTTTGATTAATTTATATTTTTTTTGCATCCTATGTTTTTCCTTCGGATGATATAATTAAATATCGGGAGACAATTTTTTTTAATACATTTTTCTAATATTTCTTACATTTCATTGTAAACCATTGCAAAATTTAGGTGAAAAAAATCTAACTGTCAAATTACAATATAGCCGTTATTAGATCAAATATATTGCAGAATTTTCCGTTGAAAATTAAATGGCCAAATGATATTTACTATGGTCGAACATGTAAAGTGGGTGGTTTAATTGTGAATGCAACAACAATTAATGATAAAACCATTTGTACAATTGGTAAATGTTTAAATTGAATATATGGCTTTTTTTTCTTGTTTTATTTGAAACTATCAAGAATAAGCTTCATAATGATATAATAATGCTTAGTCTTACATATTATCGCATTGTGATAAAATGATAAGGTCGGATTTGTTGAAGGGATTTCATGCAATAATACCTGATATAATTCATTTTTCAAATTAATCGAACAATTGAAGTAAGAGTAAATAGGTAATAAATTCAACTTTATTACTTTCTTGAACAATAAGATCTGATTGATTGACACAACAATGCCTTTTTATAATCTTATTTTTATAATTACAGGTTCTGGATTGAATTTGTCGAACAGTAAACCGACTACCTGTATTAATGATCTTTTACCTGCCGATTTAAGGATACGGCAAGAGGATTACATTGCCAATACTCTGAACAAATTTCAATGTAAGTTGTTATTTTTTTTAACTGGAATTCAATTAAATATAATTTTTTAAGAGGAGAGAGAGATTTTCGAGTAATATGGAGGACTGAATATTAGCCTAGAAAGAAGGGTAAGAGAGGAGGAAAATATTGACAGAATAGGTATAATAAGCCTGCGAAATACGTAAAGGTATAGATTTTTCGGATGATTTTGCCTGCCATCTTCTTGGGATTATTTCTTGGCCATTTTTAATCATTGATTTAAACAATATGTAGATTAAGACGACGAACACCGTAAACTTGACCAAAACGATGCGCACTGTAAACTTTCCACTTCCACGAGTTTTAAAAATAATATCAAGTTATGTTATCCACTGTGTAGTTATGTTATCAGGAATTTCAATTGTACAGTTTTGCAGATTATGTCGATTTATATGAAAATGAGGGTGAGAATGCATTTTTCAAGCATTACTATCGATTTTGGCTGCACAGGTATACAGTACCAGTGAATGTTAGATTTCGTGACTTTAATTAAAATTTTTAATTTCAAGATTACTGAGACATTATGATGTATTCTGCAATGGGTAATACATTTTTTTTAGTGGTTATTACTAATAACGAATAAATAAATAGCAAATTTCTTCCTGAATGGAACTTTCAATATTTTGAAATTAAATTCA